ACCGGGTATACAAATTGAAAAACTAAGGGTATAAAAATTGAAAAACTCGAGTTTTTAAAAAATATGATAAATAATTATAAAATTGAAAAACTCATGGGGTATACCATATATAATCGGGGTTTAAAAATATAAAAAGCAGGGGTTATACAAATTGAAAAACTGGGTAATAAAAATATGAAAAAATCGGGGGTATCAAAATGATAAATGCGGGGTTTAAAAAAATTGGAAAAAACTAAAGGGGTATAAAATTGATAAACCGGGTTATACAAATTGAAAAATCTCAGAGAAAATAAAATATGATAACTCGGGGTTTATAAAAATATAAAAAATCGAGGTTTAAAAATTGATGAATGCGAGGTTATAAAAATCTGAAAAATGGGGGTTTTCAATAAAATTATGATAACCCAGGGGTTTATACAAAATTGAACAAGGGTTTTTAAAATATTATAAATCTTTAACTCGGGGTTATCAAATATGATAAATGCGGGTTTAAATATGAAAAATCAGAGGTTATAAAAATATGATAAACTCGGGGTTTTAAAATTGAAAAATGAAAAGGGGTATACGATAGGATAAATCAGGGTTAAAAAATATGAAAAATCAGTGGTTATACAAAAAAAAATATGAAAAACCAGGGGTTTTATACAAATATGATAACCAAGAGTTATAAAAATTTTTAAAAACTTTTTTCCAGGGGTTATAAAAAATTGATAAATGCGGGTTTATAAAAATATGAAAAAATCAGGGTTTAAAAATATGAAAAATCGGGGGTTTAAAAAAATTAAAAAATGGGGTAACAGGGGGATAAACTCAAGGTTATACAAATATGATAAATCAGTGTTATACAAAAAAAAATATGATAACTCGGTTTAACAAATGATAAAAAGGGGTATAAAAAAATTTTAAAAGAAAAGGTTTTAAAAATTAAAAATGAGGGTTTACAAATTGATAAAACTCAGGGTTATACAATATGAAAAATCAGGGGGTTTAAAAATTTTAAATGAAAAGGGTTAAAAAATTGATTAATCGGGGTATAAAAATAAAATATGTGATCAGAGGTTTAAAAAAATTTGATAAACTAGGGTTTATAAAAATATGTGAACCGGGGTTATAAAAATTGAAAAAACTAAGGGTTATACAAATATGAAAAACTCGGGGTTATAAAAATGAAAATGTAAACTCAGATTTTATAAAAATTTTAAACTAGGGTTTAAAAATAGAAAAGCTCAGTGGTTAAAATAAAATATGAAAAACTCAGATGTTATAAAAATATGATAAACCCAGAGGTTATACAAATATAAAAATCAGGGTTAAATACTTTTTTTTAAAAATCAGAGAAAATACAAATATGAAAAACTCAGAGGTTATACAAATTTAAATCAGGGTTATAAAAATTGATAAAACCCGAGGTTAAAAATTGATAACTCAATTTTTTCAAAATGATAACTCGGATAATAAAAATATGAAAAACTCAGGGGTTTATACAATAGAAAATATGAAAAACCCAATTTTTTAACAAATATGAAAAATGCAGGGGTTAACAAAAAAAAATTGAAAAACTCAGATGTTTACAAATTGAAAATCGAGGTTATAAAATTTTGATAAACTCGTGGTTATCTTTGAAAAACTCAGTGGTTATAAAATTGAAATTGATTAGCCCGAGGTTAACAACAAAAAATATGATCCGGGGTTATAAAAATTGATAAATAGGGGTTTATAAAAATATGAAAAAATAAAAGTTGTAAAAATATAAAAACCAAGGGTATAAAAATTTTAAAAATGCGGGGGTTATAAAATTGATCAACTAAAAGGGTATACAAATTGATAAACAAATTTTTATCAATATGTTATCTCAGAGATAATACTAGAAAAACTCAGAAGTTGTAAAAATATGTGATCAGAGGTTATAAAAATTGAAAAATCAGAGTTATAAAAATGAAATTGAAAACCCCGGGTTATAAAATATGATTTAAACTCAGAGGTTATACAAATTTAATAAACTCAGATATACAAATATGATAAATGCAAAGGTTATACAAATATGATAAACTCAGAGGGTATACAAATATAATAAATACAGAGGTTATACAAATATGATAAATCAAAGGTTATACAAATATGATAAATGCAAAGGGTATACAAATATGATAAACTCAGAGGTATACAAATATAATAAACTCAGTGATTATACAAATAGAAATATGATAAACTCAGAGCCTGAGAGGTTATACAAATATGATGAACCCAGAGTTATACAAATATTATGAACTCTTTAACTCAGTGGTTATACAAATAGAAATATGATAAACTCTGAGGTTATACAAATATGATGAACCCAGAGGTTATACAAAATTTAATATGATACACTCAGAAGTAATGCAAATATGATAAACAAAGAAGTTTTCATATATGATATACACAGAGTTATATAAATATAACACACAGACTTTATACTAATATGATAAACTCAGAGGTTATACAACAATAAATATGATAAACACAGAGGTTATACAAATATGATAAACTCAGAGGTTATACAAAAATGATAAACTCAGAGGGTTTACAAATATGATAAATGCAGAGGTTATACAAATACGATAAACTCAGAGGTTATACAACAATAAATATGATAAACACAGATGTTATTCAAAAATGATAATCTCAGAGATAATACAATATGATAAACTCAGAGGTTATACAAATATGATAAACTCAGAGGTTATACAAATATGATAAATGCAAAGGTTATACAAATATGATAAACTCAGAGGATATACAAATATGATAAATGCAGAGGTTATACAAATATGATAAACTCAGAGGGTTTACAAATATGATAAATGCAAAGGGTATACAAATATGATAAACTCAGAGGTTATACAAATATGATAAACTCAGTGGTTATACAAATAGAAATATGATAAACTCAGAGGTTATACAAATATGATAAACCCAGAGGTTATACAAAATCTAATATGATAAACTCAGAAGTAATGCAAATATGATAAACACAGAGGTTATACTGTTACGAGCCAGGCGTAACGAGAAAGAAAAACCAGCAACAAACTTGTAACAATAACAAATTTATTACAGAAAAAAAATATTAAAGAAAAATTGAAGAACAATTTATGCGTATAAATACCTGAAGTTTAAATAAAAATATAAATTTTAAATGTTTTGTTTGATTTTGGAATGATTCCTTTTTGAATAGCACAGTGAAATTTAAGTTAAATTTAAGAACACTTTAGAATAAATTCCCACAATAAAATTCACAAGAATAATTTAATTTAGTTTTAAATTTAAGCTTTAATAAATTTGGCACTAAACTAATTAATATTTAAGTTGAATAATACTTTAAATGTATTGATGACTTAAAAGACAACTGATGACTTAAAAGATAAAAGGAATGAAAAATGTTTTCTTATATATATTAAGCTAAGAACATTTTAGATTAGTTTATTATGTTTTACAGTAATTGTAATTTAGCATCTTTAACAATAAAGAATAATTTGGAATTTTTTATTTAAATATAATGCATGAATTATAATTTAGAATTTTTTACAACAGTTAAGAAATTTTTTGTTAAATTTTATATTTACACATATGAAGTTAAATGTTTTAAATATTGGAAATATCAACTTGTTAGAGATAAACTATATACATGTAATATGTTACGTACATAACAATACATATATGATAAACAAAGAGGTTATATAAGTATAATAAACACAGAGGTTATACAAATATGATAAACTCAGAGTTTTATACAAATATGATAAACTCAGAGGTTATACAAATATGATAAACTCAGAGGTTATACAAATATGATAAACTCAGAGGTTATACAAATATGATAAACTCAGAGGTTATACAAATAATTATGATAAACTCAGAGGTTATACAAATATGATAAACTCAGAGGTTATACAAATATGATAAACTCAGAGGTTATACAATTATGATAAACTCAGAGGGTATACAAATATGATAAACTCGGAGGTTAAACAAATATTACAAATGCAAAGGTAATGCTTTGATAAATTCAAAGGTTAAACAAACATGTTAAACTCAGAAGTGACAAAAAATTATCTTGCAAAATGCTTAATCTATACGAAGCTAGATCATTTTTGTCTATATTGTTGCAATACAAGTGTTTGTAATTTATACATAATTCACAGTATAGAAACGAAATCACTGTATTCATACAATTTACCCATGTTTGACGTAAGAAGTAAAGTTTTTCTATGCAAATTATCATTTGAACATCAGGTAAAAGACAATGCTGCTGATCACTTGTTACATGTAATTTGATAATAAAAACCAACAGGTCTGTTTTAAAACTGTGTTGACAATGCTAATTTTATCTTAGATTTAAGTGTTAATTAGGTAATAATGTTTCCGCTTTACTTCATAATATATTTCTCTCTATACCACAGTGACAACCTCAGCAGAAAATAGAACAACACAACCGGATCCGGGCAAGATCCCAGGCGGTGGTGGTGAGTATTGTAAATTAGTAAATACACCTGGTAATTTTTGGCAGATTTTGGGTATTTCTTTAATGATTTTGGTATGAAGATGCTTAAATTAGTATATCATTTTACAATTCATCAGAATAAATACATGTTATTTGTCTTATAAACACGATACGTAGCTCGTTAGCACAGAATATAAGCGTGACAAGAAAGTATTTAACCTTTGGCAGCATACACAATATGTCATTATATTAAAGCAGCATGCCTCCAGATTCATGTTGATTTTCATTAAACATTTTGGAAATGTATTTATCAGTCAGATAATGTGAGATATACAAACAAAGTAATTTACATATTTTGCAATCTGCACTTACAATCCACTAAAATTACCAAATAGTGTTAAACTTATGCAGAGACAGCCCTAACTGCGTTGGTAACGCAGAAGAAATATGGTGATAAAATTTTAAATCGCACATAACATGTAAAATATAACTTGGATCTTGAATGTTTTCACCTTTCTTAAAAGTTTGTTGAATTTTCTTAATATTTATTTTTAAAAAAAATATTTTGGCTCATCTGGAGGCATGGAGCTTTAATGTTGAAAAAAAAAGAATAAATGTAACACTAAACTTGTCTGAATTCTTTGATGGCATTATTATGCTTCCGCTTTTGGGTCAATTTAGAACATATCAAAATGAAAAGTTTAAGTAATTCAGCCAAAATTATAGAGCCTGGGCAAGACTCTTTGACATATTTGTGCCCACGGTTTATCACTTTTGTTCCATCAAGAGTTACATAAAATTGAATGCAACAATACTAAGACAAATTAATTTACAGGGAATCAACATGCATTATTAATCGATGAATCGATTTTTATCTCAACTATTATGATAACTAGCTTGGTACATAAAACGTAAATGATAGATAAAATATATATAGATAGATAAACTCATCAGATTTCCTTGCGTTTTTTTTCGGATTTTCCTGAGTGATAAATGTATATTTATCGGATTTCCATGAGAGATATAATGTACATTAATCGGATTTCCATGAGAGATAAATGTACATTTATCGGATTTCGATGTGAGATAAATGTACATTTATCGGATTTCTATTAGAGATAAAATGTATATCTATCGGATTTTCATGAGGGATAAAATGTACATTTTTCGGATTTCCATTAGAGATAAATGAATACTTTTCAGATTTTCATGTGAGATAAAATGTACATTTATCGGATTTCAATAAGAGATAAATGTATATTTATCGGATTTCCATTAGAGATAAATGCAAATTTATCATGAAAGATGAAATGTTGAATGCTTTATTTCAGAGGACACAATCAATGTAATGATGTTAGCGAGTGTTGTGTCTGTGTTGGCCTTAGTTGTTGCTATAGCTGCAATATGTGTCGTCTGCTACAAAAAAATCAGGTAGTGTATTCAGTTTTGACTTCTTTTAAAGAACTGCTAGACGTAGACTGAATATTTCAACACGATCAAAATTGCATACATGTACATTAATTTAAACCTATTTACAAATAAGAAGCTGTGTAGGAGCACATTTGTCTCGGAGCAAAATTGTCTTATGAAGTGTGACCGATGTGTTCGTAAACATTTATTTACAAATAAGAAGCTGACAAGACAAGTACATATATTTTTGATGGTAAAAAATTGTCCATAGGACTCCAATCGCTATGGACAATATCTCTACTACGTTATGCAAACCTTGAATGGTTTTGTGTGAAGTCATTAATCAATCATGATCTCAAAATTAGCAAAGGCTGTTTACTTGCTTTCTATGGATTAGTCCCTACAAAGTGTCAGAAGATTAAGCTGTCACTCCTTAAGCAAGGATTTATCACAAATTATTAATGAGACCGTGATCTATTGATGGGTTTAAAGTCAAAAGGGTTCATCTACTGGTCATGGGCAATGTTCCTACTATGTTTAGTCAACTTAGGTTTATTCCTTCTCAAGTTGTTGATTGGCCAGCTTCGCTGTGACCTTAACCTTTAGCGCAATTACCGCAAAATGTATAAGGTCATCTTCCGGCGACGAGCAATTCTCTCGCAAGTAAAACAAAATTGATCTCTTGCTTTCTGAAGTAATTAATCAGGAAGTATGTCCGCTCGGACGGACAACCACGCCACAGTGATCTCTCCCGTTTTAAAAGATTTGTGATTAACTTAATAATATACTACTAGAAATTCTATGTGTCTGATCATATTCCTTGTATAACAGTTTAACAATTTGTTTTCTAGCTCGAAGTCATCGGTAGCTGGTCCATCAATAAATCTAAGACCTTCAACAGCTCGAACAAGGTTTATTCGAAATGGTCGCCGGACTCCAATCGCTTTGGAAGTACCTCCAATGTCAGAGTTTCATCGAAGCGACACTATAAGAGAATATGACGATATTCAATCGTCTGAACCATATTACACCAGAATTCTGTCTTATGACAGCATGTATTTAACGCCTAGTAACACGTTCATGAGATGCTCTGACCCTCCACCACCTTACGATCTAGAATCAGCACAATATATAGACAAGGAATGTAATGAAGTAGACAACGCATATGCCGTGATTGAGGACGACATTTCAACTGCAGAGAAGATTTGAAGACGAATTAGAATTTCATATATAACATGGTGTCGGATAATCATAAATTGAACTTTTAAAATAATGTGTATTCTTATAGAAAACGCTGTAATTACAAAAAGATACTCGGGTTAACAAATTTTTAACACTGTTTATATAGATGAAAAAAAAAGACTTTCTGTCACGTAGAATCTAACTGAAACTGTTCAAAGTGCAAATCGTACCAAAACTACTAGTATATAATCCATAAATTTATCATATGAAAAAGCATGACAGTTCACATATATTTAACATTTGAAATTTTATTCAATATATGTTTTTGTTAACAGATTTTTTTTTGTATCTGGTTCTGATTTAACAAATGTTATTTTACATACGAGAAGCAAAATGATTTTCAAAACATATGTTTTACATATGTGGTTCCAAACATACCTTATACATATGGTGCATTTTACTTGTGTATTTCTGTGTTGACTGTTGTTATAGAGGCCCTGATTTATCTTGTAGTTTCTATATGGCTCATTATTCTTACTAAAACTTGCCACAAACTGTGTCTGTTGTATGAAACATTGTCAAAGGAGTCGTATTTGGTTTGATTGTACTAGTTTTATCTTTTTCCACGTTGCAATATGTGTTTCTTGAATGTTCTCATTCCAATAAAAAAGTATATTAAGATTTATTCTCTATGACTTGTTTAATTTCTACCGTTTTAATAACGTTAGTATAATAAAAGTTACTTAGAAACGTGCGTATTTTTGTATTTAATTGAAGCATATTTCTCTTTGCTACATAATATGTATTTGTAATATGTAAGTTTAATATTTGTATTACAAATTATTCAAGAAATCAACAGTACTGTTTTATTTTTGTGAAAGAAGACCACACTATGTTTCCGGTCATTCGCATTGTTGAAATGGGCAACTGAATCAAGATTCAAGATTTTTGTTGTTGTTGAATATATATTGTTATATTATTGATGATGTGTTAATGAAGCAAAAATGAAATGAGCCGCGTCACGACAAAACCAACATAATGGGTTTGCGACCAGCATGGATCCAGACCAGCCTGCGCATCCGCGCAGTCTGATCAGGATCCATGCTGTTCGCTTACCAACTCTATAGCAAGTAGAGAAACTGATAGCGAACAGCATGGATCCTGATCAGACTGCGCGGATGCGGATGCTGGTCTGGATCAATGCTGGTCGCAAACGCATAACGTTGGTTTTGTCGTGACGCGGCTCAAATAATCTTTTTACAAATTAGGAGAAAACACAAAGACAATACAATACATTTTTGTTTTAGATATAGAGCGATTTAGCGATTTTAGCCCTAATAAATGTGATATTACATTTATTTGTTGACGGCTTAGGAAGATTTCTATATTTTGTAAGAATCCATTATGTTAATTTGCTTCATATGTATAGCAATGTAAATATTGTATGTTTATGTTAAATAAATGAGTACACTCTTGATTGTTGAAGTCTTGCTAAATCCTTACTCAATGTTTTATTGGATATAGAGGGCAAACTATTAGTTATGACTAAATAGCTAATCATAATCAGTAGTTGAAAAACTTCTTGTTGCTCCATATCTGTGTAACATATTTTCATATATGTGACTTTACTGGGGGAATTTTTACCTTGATGGGACTGGAAATATCCGTTTTTCAGAATAATTATTATAAATGCAAAAATGACAAAAAAAGGAAAAGCATGCCAAAATCAAATTCTAAAATTATATAATAAACGTACGATTTTCTATTGAATTATAGATATGTTTGTATATTTCATTATTAACTTTTGTATATTTTTCAGTTTAAAAATGCCTTAGTTGATCTATTTTAGGAATTCAACTTTAACAGTTTTAGACTCTTTTACCGAAGGCAAGTTCTTTTAATTTTTTACGGAGACAAAATTTAGATTTAGATTATATCAAACTTCATACAATTCCCGTATTTCGTGTTTTTTCATAACATGTACACACCGAGCAAAACATTTAACACATCGTGTAAAAAGGGGTTTTATTTGCATATGTAGAGCCACTGTTTGATAACACTAACACATAACCAGGTCCAGTATTTAATATATACTGTATTTGATACAGAAAGCATTCTGTAATATGTATCATGAACTTTTGGGTGGAAAATTCGGTTATTTCTTCGTAGTTTATCAATAAATATGAAAATTACAACGGTATACTTACACGTCACATGGGCCTTTGCATGAAAGCGAAAAGATGCCGTTGTTGGAAATTTCCTGTCTCGTTGGAATAAACTGTATCCTTATAACAACAACAAATACTTTATTTAGAATCAGATCACATAAATGCAACAACTTGATCAAAAGAGTTTAATAATTCATTGTTTTTTAATTAATTTATATGCTGTAAAAAGCTTACATACCAACATTTTTGATATGCATATGAAGTCGTTTAAGAATAAACAATACTAATTATCATAAACCGTAATAATCGAATATCAAAGGGACACCACAAAGATTATTTTTGACATGAAGGGACTCATGATTTATGTATAGTTTTGATTTAGGCCTAGTCAACTTATATGCAAATTTCAGATTATTCGCATAATCTGTTTTGACAGAATGATTATTATTTTATCGTGCATAGTGACCCTACATTTAAAAGTGTTTCAAAGCCTTTAAGTCAAAGCTGGACCAGAATCACACAAAAATCGGGTTTTATTGTATAGTCATTGTTAATAATCTTATGTGTGTTTTTTATTCATTACTTACTTAATTTCTTTAGCGCACCACTTGATTAATACGGAATGCCGTTAAGGCCATCGCCTATGAATGGTTTGATCTGGAACGCGATACTCGACAGTACGATGATGAAAACGCGAAATCACGAAACTACGATCATGGTGAAAACGCGACAGTACGATGGTGAAAACACGACAGTACGATAACGAAAACGCGATAATACGACAGTACGATGATGATAATACGATAAACTATCGTGTTTTCATTATCGTACTTTCGCGTTTTCCCCATCCTTATATCGTGATTTCGCGTTTTCATCATCGCACTGTCGTATTTTCATCATCGTTCTATCGCGTTTTCACCATCGTACTATCGCGTTTTCATCATCATACTGTCGTGTTTTCATCATCGTACTATCGCGTTTTCACCATCGTACTGTCGTATTTTCATCATCGTACTATCGCGTTTTCATCATCGTACTATCGCGTTTTCATCATCGTACTATCGCGTTTTCACCATCGTAGTTTCGTGATTTTGCGTTTTCATCATCGTACTTTCGACGATAGCGTTTCAGTTCAATACATTCATAGGCGAGTGCCCTAACGGCATTCCGTAATATCATACACAAAAGCGTGCTGCAAGAATGATTCTACATGTTCTAGATACAAACTTTGACCATCCGCCGTTCCGTTATTTAATGAATGAAAATGATTCCCATTCAGAACTCGAAAAAATCACTTTTATATTGGTATACTTGTACACAAGACGTTAAATGATGTAACATCAACATACATGAAAGATATATAAAAGACTTGCAGAAAAAGGACAAATCATGCTCTACGATCAAGAAATTAAGAACGCGATGATGTAGTGCAAGCCTATGTTAGAAATCATATTTCTATGGTGGCTGATTTGGTCCGCTTTTGTGCGTCACGTTCTCGCTAGCAACAACATGACAAAGCGCCAAACGGCGCGTTGTCGCCTTGTTTCTAGCGCGGCATGCTAAACAGCGCGTTGTCGTGCGGCGTGTTGTCGCGATGTCACATTTTCGCTCGGTTCAAATTGAAGGATTAGCTTATAAGCCAAGCGACAGGGCGACATTGCGACAACGCGCCGTTTGGCGTGTCGCGCTAGAGACAAAATGACAAGACGACTGCGCGACAATGCGCCGTTAGGCGCTTTGTCGTGTTGTCGCTAGCGACAGGACGACAAGACGAAAGTCCGACAATGCGCCGTTTTGCTTTTGTCGAGTTGTCGCTAGCGCCAACTAGACGCACAAAAGCGTACCAAATCAGCCACCATATATTTCAGTAGAGTGCTTTACAAGTGTGGAATGATATTCCTGTTAATGTTCATAAATATCAAAAAATGACCCAATTTTGACCCAAATTTAACCTACATAGTCGCAGCCTTAACTACATAACATGATTTGCTTAAAACGTTCTTCATACGTGCTTTTCTTTTGTTAACAGTTTAATGTTTGATTTAATTTTGTTTTAAGCAAATGTGTGTAAAAATGTAAGTTTATGTGATTGTCCGAAGTCCTCTTGAAAGATAGGATTTATTAAGTTACCTTCAGTAAATATTTATTAAATTTAGTAAATTTATTTATTGATTTATTTCTGTTCCTGGCGTTTCTGCTGACGATATATTATTATTCCATAAATATCCTTCACGTGGTTAAAGCCTGATAACAACAATAAAAGCAGTTTTAGCTCGACTATTCGCAGAATAATCGAGCTAATGCAGTCACCCATTTGTCGGCTTCGGCGTCCCTGTGGTTAAGTTTTTGCATGTAAGCTGGTATCTCCATAACTACTGAAGGGAATGGATTGAAACTTCACACACTTGTTCTCTGTGATTATCTAAGATGATTGGCACAAGTCCCATAACTCTGATTTGCTTTTTTACATAATTATGCCCCTTTTTCGACTTAGAAATTCTTGGTTAAGTTTTTGCATGTAAGCTGGTTCTCCATAACTACTGAAGGAAATGGATTGAAACTTCACACACTTGTTCTCTGTGATTATCTAAGATGATTGGCACAAGTCCCATAACTCTGATTTGCTTTTTTACGTAAGTATGCGCCTTTTCGACTTAGAAATTCTTGGTTAAGTTTTTGCGTGTAAGCTGGTATCTCTATAACTACTGAAGGGAATGGATTGAAACTTCACACACTTGTTCTCTGTGATTATCTAAGATGATTGGCACAAGTCCCATTACTCTGATTTGCCTTTTGACATAATTATGCCCCTTTTTCGGCATAGAAATTCTTGGTTAAGTTTTTGCGTGTAAGCTGGTATCTCCATAACTACTGAAGGGAATGGATTGAAACTTCACACACTTGTTCTCTGTGATTATCTAAGATGATTGGCACAAGTCCCATAACTCTGATTTGCCTTTTTACATAATTATGCCCCTTTTTCGACTTAGAAATTCTTGGTTAAGTTTTTGCGTGTAAGCTGGTATCTCCATAACTACTGAAGGGAATGGATTGAAACTTCACACGCTTGTTCTCTGTGATTATCTTAGATGATTGGCACAAGTCCCATAACTCTGATTTGCCTTTTTGAAGGTGAAAAACCTTCACAGTACTTTTGCAGCTTAGAGAAAAAAAATTACACTTCTAAAACTATTTATAAAATTCAAAAGGATGACGGAACAATTGTTAAAGAACAAACAGCAATTCTCGAAGAATTAGAAAAATATTATCAAAACCTATTTATGGCAAAAATACACAATAAAAATGACGATTCCTTTGAAAATTTTATTTCAAACATAGAAGCACCTGTTTTAAGTCCAACAGAGTCAAATGCTTTAGAAGGTCAAATAAACTATCATGAAGCAACTTTAGTTATACATAACATGAAAAATAATAAAAGTCCAGGATCTTCTGGTTTCAGCGCAGATTTTTACAAAGTTTTTTGGAAAAAGATAGGAGTTTTTGTCATTAGAGCTATTAATAACGCATATGAATCAGGCAAACTTTCCATAACTCAAACACAGGGAATAATTACATGTATTCCTAAAGACAATAAACCAAAAGAATTTTTAAAAAATTGGAGACCCATAACTCTTTTAAATACAGTTTATAAAATTGCTTCTGGAGTCATTGCAAATAGAATTAAAAAAACTTTAAACAAATTAATTAGCAAAGATCAAACCGGATTTATTAAGGGTAGATATATTGGAGAAAATTCAAGACTTATATACGACATTATGCATTATACTGAAGAGAAAGATATCCCTGGTCTTCTTCTTTTAATTGATTTTGAAAAAGCTTTTGATTCTTTGTCCTGGTCATTTGTTCAAAAAACATTGTCTTATTTTAATTTTGGAATTTCTATTAAACGATGGTTTAATATTTTTTATAAAGACGCACAGTCTGCTGTAAGTCAATGTGGATTTCTGTCAAATTTTGTAACTATAGGTAGAGGCTGCAGACAAGGAGATCCGCTCTCTTGTTACATCTTTATTTTATGTGCTGAAATTCTCTCTCTTAAGATAAGAAACTGTAAAGAAATAAAAGGTATAAAGATAAATAATTTAGAACATAAATTATCTCAATTTGCGGATGATACAACTTTAATATTGGACGGGTCAAGCAATTCCTTAAATCAGGCACTTGATGTGTTATCGAAATTTGCTCATATATCTGGACTAAATGTAAACTTTGATAAAACAAAAGTAATTTGGATAGGAAAAAATAAATACTCATCAAATAGTATAAAAACACGATGGAAATTATCATG